AGGCCTAACAAACGCGGAGCAGATGGTGTTTTGTGTGCTGAAAAGTGGCGCAATTGACGGCGTCTCTCATGTTTAAAATATGGGGGTAGAATTGTTGCTTAATTCCAAATAAATAGATTATGATCCACAAATAAATAGAATGAGATCCACAAATAAATCTTAAAGTTTCACAAACATGAATTAAATTCGCAAATAAATAAAATGAGATTTGCAAATAAAAAACATATTCAAACATATTCACAAATATATATTTATGTCACAACCACAACTTTGCCTGGCATTTATTTGTGAATCGCGTCCTGTGCATTTGTAGATAGCTGCACGCATTTGTAAATCGCGTCCTGTGCATTTGTAGATAGCGCACGCATTTGTAAATCGCGTCCTGTGCATGTGCGAATTGTGAAACATTTCTTGCGTCAAGACGTGCTGACAATCCACAAATACGTGGACTCCACCCACCGTCTACTCAAGCCAATCAGATAACAGCCACATTCGCTGACCAATCGTAGCACGATCTCGCTATAGCCAATCACGTTTTGCTTTACAATCAGGGCGGTCTCGTCCTGAGAAAACTTCATTCATCTGCATTGGCTCAAATAGGTCATATAAGGGCCATACAATGGGTACAGTAAAAGATGTTTAAAACTGGATTTCGTTAGACTATTAGACTGTGTATCATGCCAAGCCACAGTATTTTATGTTACGTGCCTTTGAAAATGCCAGAGAAACAGTGTGTGATGAAGTGTAGTAGCTAAGACTAGTGCGTGTGCGCATTTACAGTGCTTTCTTTCACTATATGATTCAGTTTATTAAAATACATTTCGAAATGATCACAAAATTCAAGATATGGGAACAGAAAATATATAAATTTATATAATTTTATATAGTTTATATAAATATCATTTATATATCATTGTCGTTTCTTTTCTCCAAAAATCAACATGATTTCAAATGTCATGTTAAAATTATGTGATATTAATATACAGTTCAATAAACAAAAACATGACGGTGTTTCGTTTCTGAATGAATCAACCTTTAAATGATTCGGTTCAATCGCAATGACTCCAACAGTGACTTGCTGCCATCTACTGGTGGTTTAAATTTCACATTTATATTTTTTAAATAATTTCAAATGTCAGTATTCGACGTTTTTTGTTTACAATATCAAAACATTATCTATGCATTTGTAACTGCAGGTTAAAGCATCCCATGTCCCTCTGAGCTGCATTAAACAGTGTGACATCTAAATGTCACTTCAGATGCAACTTGTTTCCTCTGCATTGTAAAGATTAATTTCGTTGATATTTATACCATTTGTTTGGTAACAGCCCAAATGTCTCATTATTCTAATTGACAAATTATATGCAATAATTTGACTCAAAAAAGATGAGGCACACTTTAAGAAAAAAATGGCTTTATAAATGTAAAAATGCTTTTAAAATGTAAAATATATATATATATATATATTTAAGCTTATTGGTAGATTAATTTCTATTACTGCTGTGACCACCACAGAATATCAAAAACTTC